TTAGGAACGACCTCTTACCACACTCCCCTCCCCCCCCCCCCCCCCTCCCCCCCTCATCGCCACAGCCATCGCCGCCCGAAAAGACCAATCACGTGAATGCCACCCTGCCAATTGTGGTGACCATTCATTCCGCTTACGAGCGGCAGAAGGTACTTCTCGCCTTCGGAGCCGCCTGTCCCCTGCCGCAGACACGCGACGAACGACTCGCCATGGCTTCCCATGGCCATGCCGACGTGCTGCTGCTCCTGGTCTGGCTCTCCTGCCTCGTGGGGATGTCATGGACTCAACATGTCGACTTGAGCTCCGTCGTCCAATATCGCACCCTCCGCGCCGGAGGTCGCTCGCCAGAGTCGGACATCATCGCCAGCTTCAACCAGGCCTACAACGGCAGCATCTACATCCACGAAATTCCCCTCATTGATGGCCTCAATGCTGATCTCGATGCCCTTGTGCCGTCTGATTACATCCGGGGACTGCTCAGCGTGCACCACGCAGTGGATCTGGTCCAAGAGGTCTCAGGATGGCTCACCACAGACATGCTCCGCGCTCACTACCTCTACAACGTCACCGATCTGTGGCACGAGTTTGGCATCTTTGACTCACCAGCAGTGGCCTTTGCGCCGCAGACTCGCGGGTCCGATGGCGCCATGTACATGCTCCCGCTCCTTACCCGCATCCGAGGCTTCTACCTCAACACGCGCTACTTGCCGACCATGCCGCACACCTTTGAGGCCCTCCTCAACTACTGCCGCGCGCACAAGTCCCGGACCGGATCAGGCTGTATCCTTCTCTGGGCAGTGAGCGGGCCGAGGGACGATCTGCTGGCCCGCCTGCTCGATGTGTTTCTGACGCTGCAGCACGGGCCCGAGTACGTGCTCGCCATCCAGACCGGCACCGTCCCGCTCACGGATGGCCGTTACGCCGCAACACTGGACCTGCTCGAGAGAATGATTGCCGACGGCTGCTTTGAGTACGACTTTAGCCTCGCCAAGTTTGAGTCGGGCGATACGCCGATTCTCTCCACCGTGCTGGGCGTGACCAAGGCGCTGGTTGGCACGCCGCTGGCGGCGCCAGAGACCCTCGCAGCTATGGCCATTGCGTCAACTCCACCGTTTGCCGGCACCGCCTGGCCGACGCCGCTCTTTGCGTCGCTCGATCGGGTCGGCATCCCGCGAGTGAGCTCCAAGCCCGACAAGGCGCGGACATATCTTCGCGAGCTCTTTTCCCCTGCCAACGCCAGACACATGCTTGTCGGTGCAACCATGTCGTGGCCCATTTCGGCGTCAGACGCGCTTGTCGCAAGCCTCAACGGGAGCGATCCCGAGCTCGACACCGTCTTTTCCCTGGTCCGCACCGCTGACTACGTCGTCCCCACCTCAGACGATGTCTTCACCTCGGTCCTCATGCGCCAAGCTTGGCGCGATGCGGTTAGCACTGTCGCGGCAGGTGGGGCCATTACCAGCGCAGTCGCCACAGTCGAGGCTGTCCGCGTCGCCGAGTACGTCGGTGAGGCGCTTGCGCCCGTCCCATCAACTCCACCTGGCCTCTACCAGCACGCGCTCAATTTCTCGCTCACGACGTTCACCGCCGGTGCCGACGTCCACTACACACTCGATGGCTCGCCGCCGTTCTCGGACTCGCCCAAGTACCGCCCCGATCAGCCGATCCTACTAGTGGAGACTGGCAGCGTGCTCGTGCGGGCCGTGGCCATCCGCCGCGGCCTCCGCAACTCGCCCGTCTTTGAGGGTAGGTATACCATCCAGCTGCCGGTCCTGCCTGGACCGCCGTCGACAGAGAGCGACGCAGCGTCGGCCCGCATGTCGCCGTCCGTCATGTCACCTGCCGCTGCCATCATTCTCTCAGTCAGCATCCCTTTGCTGATCTGCGCCACTGGCGCCGCCATCTTTGTCATGTGGCGGCGCGCGCGGCGGTCGACAACCGTGATCACCCTCGAGGGTGCGCACGAGGCCATCCCCTTTGACGAGCTCCGAATGCTCCGAGCCATCGGCACCGGCGCGTACGGCGCGGTTTCGCTCGCCGAGTGGCGGGCCACGCGGGTGGCCGTCAAAATCCTCCACCGAACCTCGATCAGCGAGTCCGATCTGAGCCCGGACAAGTGCCAGGCCTTCCTCTCCGAGGCCGCCATTATCATGTCGCTCCGGCACCCCAACATCGTCACCTTTATGGGCGTCTCGCTCGTACCGCCGGCGCTGGTCACCGAGTTCCTTGACCGCGGCGCCCTGTACGACTACATCCACAACCCAGCCATGGAGATCGACATCTCGGCCCGCATGCAATGGGCGTACGAGATCGCGGCAGGCGTCGCCTTTCTCCACGAGTCCAATACCCTCCATCTCGATCTCAAGTCGCTCAACGTCCTTCTCTCGAGCTCGTGGACCGCTAAGCTCTGCGACTTTGGCCTCTCCGCGTTGGCCAGGACTGCTGTCGGGCCCGACGAGGAGACCAAGGCGGGGTCAATCACCGCTGGGACCAAGGCGGATGCCAGCGGTGCCGTTGTTCTCGGAACCATGTACTGGACTGCCCCCGAGCTACTCATGACCGCCATCGTGGCTACCCCAACTGCAGTCGCGCCACCTGCAGATGTCTACTCGCTCGGCATCGTACTCTACGAGCTCTTTGCTCGCTCGCTCCCGTACCCGCTGGGGAGCAACACCTTTGCGCTCACGCTCGACATCATGCGCGGCAAGCAGCGGCCAGATGTGGCAGCGGTCGTGGCCGACACGCCACAGGAGGTCGTCCAGATCATGACCTCCGCATGGGCGACTGATCCACAGGAGCGGCCGACTGCCAGCAACGTGGCGGTGAGGCTGCGATCGGCTTTGGCTGCAGACCCCGACCCTGTCGTCTACCCACAGCCGCTCCACGATGAGCCGTGTGGCGACGCTGTAATCATGGTGAGCATGGTTGTCGGCTCGTTTGCCGAGCTCGCTGTCGCCGTGCCGGACGACCTTAATCAGCTCATGACCAACGTGCATGAAGCTATCTACGGTGCGGCCGCGATCTCTGGGGGCTACTGCTGGCACATGACGCCGTACAGCCTCGACTACGCGTTCTCCACTGGAAGGCGGGCTAGCGCCTTTGTTGAAGATGTTCGGAATCGGATGGCGAAGCTCCCCATTCCGGAGCGACTTGGCTTGCTCCTCCCGTCGACGCTGGCTGGGTGCGAGGGCGTGTACGGCCCAGTCCGACTGGCCATTGGCATCGCTGTCGGTCCCGTCACAACAAGCCGCGACACCAAGTCTCTCAAGCTGAAGTACTTTGGTCCACCTGTGGTCGGCGCACGCGCGCTGGCGTCGAACGCGCTGCCGGGAATGACGCTTGCATCAACCGATGCCGTGCAGATGCTGGTGGTGACTCCGACGGCATCGCACCAGACGGTGCCGGCGACACCATGGCCGGCCGAGGTGCCGGCAGCCGGACGTGGAGTGATGCGGGTGACCCTGCGGGCGGACGCGAGCGCGGTCCACGACATGATCTGCTATGCAGCGCTATGGGAGGCGACGCAGCACGTGCTGACTGGCTCGGATGATATCAGCCGGCTGGCGGTGCTCGTGGACGAGATCGCGACTGTTTCGGCCGGCGGCAGTACTGAACCGCTGCAGACTGGCCCACAGCTCGCCTTTACAAGTTCTCTGCCGACAGCTGACTGGCTGGTTCGGGCGAAAGAGCTGGATGTGTTTGAGGCCGAGTCTTTCGCCAGCGGCCTCGGATCGTACGCTGAGATCAAAACCGGAAAGCTTCGGGGCACTCCTGTCGAGTACCATCGGTTCCTCCTGCAGAACAAGTACGATGTGCGCTACTCCTTGGCTGTGGCTGCCGAGTTTGGGCGCATCAGAAAGCTGGTCCATCGCGGCAACCGATACCTGGTCCCAGTCATGTACCTCTGTCTGGAGCCGGGGCGGATCGGCTACTTTGCGCCACAAATGCCCGGCGGGACGCTTGGCGAGCTGCTGGAGACCGGTGCCGGCGGATCCCACACACTCATCGGAATGCTTTCGGCCGGTCTGGGCCTCGCTCGCGGGCTCGGCGAGCTGGCCCGACTCGACATCCCTGCGCTGCCGTTTTCCATCCGGCTGAGCAACGTGGTTGTTGTCGGGAGCAACGGGACGACCATCGACGTCGCCATTCGCGACTATGGGTTCATGGCCCCGACCGAGGCCATCGGGACCATGACGGTGGCACAGACGGCGGCGTACGAGGCTCCCGAGCTCCTTCGCGGCGAAACGAGCGAGGCAGGCGCGGAGCAAGCCCTGGCCTTTGCGCTCGGATCTGCCCTCTTTCACCTCATCTCGGGAGTGCCGGCATGGCACGGCCATAATGCGATGGACACGGCGTCGCGCATCGTCGCCGGCGAGCGGCCGGAGCTTCTTCCGCGATCCAGCATCGCGTCCAGCATCCCCACTGCCGTTACAGACCTCGTTACGGCGCTCTGGCAGGACAATCCAACTGCACGACCGAAGCTTGTCGACGCCATGACCACGCTTGGCGAGGCGCTCGATCGGATCCTCCCGCGATCGGCCCGGTCCGCGCACCCTATCTTGCCTCACCCACCAGAGCTGCAGCCGACTGCCAACTTTGGTCCGGCCGGCTCCTCCAGCTGTGGCCAAACAATCAGCGCTGGCCTGCCCAGCCTCGGCTCCTTCCGGTCAGACACATCGCCAATGGATGGCGGTGGAGTCGGGAGCAGCCAAGCCAGGAACAGCGTCCAGCCCGCGTCGCCCGCACTTGCGCCTGTCGCCACACCGCCGTGCTAGACGCCCCTTTATTCTGACTCGGCGATGGCCATGTCAGAAGCGGCTGCGCCGCATACAGTGGAGGAGGCGCCGAAGAATGAGCTACAAGCGTGTCCACATCTCGATCAGGCTCTGCCGCAAGAAGGAGAGGCTGTCAACAACAACGTCGGCGACTACCAGATCGTGGCCGAGTTACCCTGTAGTTAGTCGACGTAGCGTTAAGTGATTCTGCGTCCACGTTGGCCGCCACCAGACCGGGCTTCCATGCAACTAGCCAGCGATGGCGGCCGGGAGGATGTGCATCGGTATCTTTTGCAGCAATTGACCGACATGAGCGGCGATGGCAAATGCACAGGACGCAGGTTTGACTGGCACAGAGTGTGGCGGTGGCGGCACGCAACCGATTGTGTGTCGACAGGAGTGTTGTCGTCCAACGATTATTCTCTTGTTCAATTAATCGTGGACGTTTTTTTCCATCACCTTTGGCCCATGTGCACGCCAGCAAACTCACCGCTGAATCGGTAACAAGGTACACTGGTGCCCACCACCACCACCAACACTTCACCCGTCCTCCATGCCTTCCCACGGCCTGACACTCTGGGTGGTGGTGGTGGCTCTGCTTGTGTCGTCGGTGGTGAGCGGTGCGTCGCTTATTTCGTTCTCGGGCCGGTTGCAGACAAGCTCGTCGAATGCGCGAGCGGAAGACAGGCAGACTGGTGACACGAGCAACGCTGGATCCGTCGTGCGACTCAAGGAGGAGCTCGTTCTGATGCGAGTTCGGAACATGCCGATTTTATCGTCTCAGTTGGAGTTTTACGTGGTGGGGACATCGATAATTGCGGACAAGCTGGAGCTTGCAAGCGATCCGGCCGACTTTATCCTGGCCTTCCTCAACACCTCGTTCTACGGGGGAGAGTTGCTTGACTCGGGCTACTGGTTGATCTCGTACTCGATCTCCAACGCAGACAAGTATCCGCTACTCTCGTACACTTTCCCGGGCACCGCCGACGAGATCAACAACTTTGCCTTGACCGACAATCTCGTTGCCAACCTCTCGTCTTCGTTGCAGTTTGCCCTCAACTCGGACAAGTACAACGGGTTCCTCGGCTTATATCTTTCCTCGGATACATCGACGTCCGACTACATGCTGGATCTCGGATCGTCCGACTTTGAGTTCACCTACTACGAGGTGTGTGGCGAGTATCCGCCCATCGTCGGCGGAACCATGGCTCTTTCACCCTTCACCGGAACGACGTCGGCACCCCTCGGTGATTCGTTGGTTATCACCTGCGAGCCCGGGATGATACTGTACGGCGCACCGTCCAATCCAACAGTATTCTGTACAGCGGCAGGCTGGCAGGCACTCCCTCCGAGCGTGTACTGCGGCCCGCCACCGTCGCCTCCACCGCCTCCATCGCCACCACCATCCCCACCGCCACCGCCGCCACCGTCGCCGCCACCGCCGCCGCCATCTCCACCGCCACCACCGTCCCCGCCGCCACCCTACGCGTGCACGCTTCTCTCGCCTCCAGCACTTGGCAGCATCGCGTTCTCCGACTACGGCTACGTCGGCTCTGTGGCGGTTGCGAGGTGTGATCCGGGTCTGGACGCCATTGCGGGGACGATCGAGCGGACGTGCATCGGATCGAGTTGGTCCGGATCGCCCGTGGTGTGTGCGCTCGTGGCATGCCCATCGCTGGCTCTGCCGTCTTTCGGCAGCTACCTCTGTAGCAATGGATCCTCGTCGTCGCTTCCAGGCTCGTTCAATGAGACCTGCACTTTCAGCTGCGAAGCCGGGCGCACGCTGGTCGGCGAGAGCGAGCTCATCTGCCGCGGCAACTCGGAATGGTCGGCGGACGAGCCGTTCTGCTCCTCGTTCAACGTCTCGCGCTCGATTGTTTCAGTGGCTCCATCGCCGCCGATGGAACTGTCGACGGTTGAGAGCTTTACTATGTCACTTGATCTCCGCGACTCTGCTGGGAATCCGACTGGCGAGGGCTCGGACCAGCCGTACGCGCGCGAGCTGGCGTCGGGGGCGTTGCTGGTCTCGTCAACAAGTTTTGACACGGCCACGCTCCGCTACACGGCCACGGTTGCGGCACCGACCCGTGTCGGCGACTACATTGTTGAGCTCGGCGTCAACTCGATCGCCTTTCCGCCAGCAAACCGTGTTGTCCTGACGGTGTCACCTGGGCCGGCAGCCGGCGTGCAGTCGTACGTGGTCAACGCACCCAGCGACGGGACGTTTGCGCTAGAGACCGGCGAGGCAAGGGTGGTTACGGTGACAGTCTGCGACGTGTATGGCAATGAGGTGGCTGTGCCGCCGGCGCTGTCTGCGGTGGCGATTGCGCTGCAGCGCGGCGCAGAGTCGAGGCTGATCAGCGACTTTGTCCTTAGTGGCTCGGCACTCACCTTCGAAGTGGTAGCGACCGAGGGCGGGACGTACACACTCTCGATCCGGATTGCCGACGTGGACATCATTGGCTCACCGGCGATTGTGCAGGCGTCGACAACGTGCTTTCCGGGGACTCGGGTCATCGACGGCGTGCGGTGCACTGCGTGTTCTGGTGGTTCTTATTCGGAGACTGTCGACGCGGTCACGTGCACCGATTGCCCGGGTTTCAGCACCTCGACACCGGGCTCGTCGTCGTTCCTCAACTGTACCTGCCTACGGACGTTCTGGTTTGGATCCGGGAGTCGAGAGCCAGACAAGCCGTGCGTGCCGTGTCCGGCGGGGGCAGTGTGTTTAGGTGGGACGGAGCCGCCGCGGGCTGCACCAGGCTTTGAGCCATCGGACGACGGCGCAGCGTTCGTGGCCTGTCCACGACCGGCTGCGTGTGCTGGATCGGGGCAGTGCGCGGCGGGCTACCGGGGCCGGCTCTGTGCCGAGTGTGCAGCCGGCTGGTACCGCCTGGGCGACGCCTGCCACAAGTGCCGCGGCTCGAACGCGGTCATCATTGTGGCGCTCGTTCTGCTTGTCTTTGCGTACGTCGCCGGTGTGGTGTGGATCAACACGCGTAACACGCGCGTTTACGGGTATGCCGCGTTTGTCATTGCGCTCAACACGCTCCAGGCAGTCGCCATCTACGGAACCATCCAGCTGGAGTGGCACCCTGTGGCGACGGCAATTTTTGACGTTGTCTCGCTGGTGAACCTCAACCTCGACCTAGCGTCGCCCGAGTGCGGACTCGACGTTGGCGATGTGTGGATGTTCAAGTGGGGCATGACGATGGCGCTACCGGTCTTGTTCCTGCTGCCGTTTGCAGTTGTGACCGCTGTGCTTTGCGTGCTCTTCAACATTCGCGAGGCCAAGGGCTTGGTGTTTACGATCAATCCGCGGGTGATGGGCGCGGCGGGGCGCGGATACCTTCAAACGATCCTGCTACTGTACCTCCCGCTGATGTACGCGGCGCTGCGCTATGTCGACTGCACCAATGTGGGGGGCGGGATTGTGGTGATGACAACCAACCCGCAGCGGCGGTGCTACACGGCCGCGTGGTACTCGCTGCTCCCACTCATCCTGGTGGTGGCGTTTGGCTACGGGTTGAGCATCCCAGCAGCGCTGGTGGTCTTTCTCACGCGCAAGCACGCGGCACTCGACCTCGGCTCGTTCTACGCCAAGTACGCGTTTCTCACCGCCAAGTACAAGCCGGCGATGTACAGGTACGAGCTGGCGATTCTAGGACGCAAGCTGTTTGTGGTTGTCGCGGTCTGCGGCTTCCGCTCACCGACGGTCAAGGCGAGCCTCATCGCACTCTTCTACGCCTCGCTTGTCCTCGCCGCCTGTCTTCTCGACCACAAGCCGTACGCCGAGGCCTACCACTCGCGGCTGGACGTGGTCACGCTTTTTGGCTCGTTTGTCCTGCTCTGGGGGGGGACGATCAGCTCGTCGGCGACGCTCCGAGACTCGGTGGTCATCACTGCCATCATCGGACTCCTTGCTGTCCTGGGCATCGGTATCGGGTACGAAGTTTGGCGGATCCGTGCGCGCGACGCCGCCGAGGTCGACGTCATCTTTGCCGATGACGGCCTCGTCGGCGAGGTCGAGATGGACAAGATGCCGTCAGCACATCAACTCGACAACCACTCGTTCTCAGACGGCAGCATCTCGATCGGCGAGAGCAATCCAGACATGCGGTCCATCGCCATCACCGACTCGGTCACCGCCACTTCGCCGCTTCACTCGCTCGGCTCGGGACCCATCGGCTCAGATCTGATCCCGCTTCCGCCGGCGCTTGACGGCCCCGTCGTGACGCCCGACGCCGAAGCCCTCCATGCTTTCAGCAGCGATTAGCCGAGAAATACATAGAAGCCAAACACCACCACGGCCAGCTCTGGTCGCACACAGATTGTAAGCTTGTTTTAAACATGCCAGCACGCCCAGCAGTGTGGGCGGAGTGATGGCGGGCAACGTGAGCGCGTTCAATGCGATCAGTATGAGTACAGGCCATAGTCGTCGTACGAATCGTGCGACGACGACGCCGTGGCAGCCGAGCGCGTGGCGCCAGGCGACGGCGCCTCTTCGTCGCCGATCTGGATGGGCGGAACAAACCAGAAGCCAGCCGCCATGGTGCCTTGTCGGTAGCGCGAGAGGGCAAACCACTGGAGGCTCGCGGCTGCGACGACGATGGCAAAGGCGAGGAGCTGGACGAGGTGGGCGCCCTTCTCGCCCTGGGAAAAGAAGACGACCACGGTGGTCAGAAGGCGGACGATCCACCCGATGGTAGTCAGAACATGGATCCAGTAGTAGACCTCGACCTTGCGGGTCTCGTTGTCGGCGAGGGCGTGGCGGAGGAGGAGTGCCAGCATGGCCATGCCGGCAAACGACGTTAGATCGCCCTGGTTCGAGCCACTGCCGACCACTATCTGGACAAGTAAGATGCCGGCAACGACGATGTAGATGGTAAAGAGCACCAGGGCGGTGCTCCTGGCGGTAGCCTTGGCGCCCGCAGTTCCGTTTCCCTCGTCGGGAATGTCCATCGGGTAGTTGAAGCTGGCCCGGGGAGCCGAGCGCTCCCGGCGGGAGGACTTGCCACGGCGCCCAGATGCGCCATGGCTGGACTCTGCGCAGCCGGAAGCGTCTACCGGTGGCACTGGCAGGTTGTACTGGATGGCGCAGGCACCGCAGGCGCAGCAGCCGTCGTAGCCAGGGCGCGGATGATCCGGGAAGCGGGCGTAGTGCTCGCGGGCGGTCTGGCACGTCGAGCATGGGCCGCAGCAGCACGCGAGAAGCGCATCGGACCAGGTCCATGAGCCCAGATCGTAGACGGCACGGGCGTCTGCTCGATCCATGCAGGTCAAGACGAGCTGCGAGGCTCCGCTGGCGAGCGCCACGCCGATGCCCCATCGCTTTTCGGCGACGGAGAAATCCCGCCCTTCGCGCAGCGCGCGCATCTCCATCATCAGACACGGCGCGCAGCAGCATGCGTAGCAGCACCCGGCCCTGTCGTCACAGCAGTCACACAGGCCTGTGGAGAACTGCTGTCGGTGCTCGCGCGTGGTATGACCTTGCTCGTCGTCATCGCCATGGCCGTGGCCATGGCCAGGCGCTGATGCTGTTGCATCGTTTGACTTTTCCGGCGCGACTTTCCCTGCTCCGGCATGCTCGCCACCGCCACCATCAGCAGCCATGACTGGAAGAGGGGTAGCAGAAGGTGTAGCTCGTGGGCTGATGTAGGAGACCGCGTCCGATTCGTTCGGCGGCGCAGCGCGTTCTTTCGGTGGCAGCCATCAATCCGGGCACGATGATCGCCTCGCTATGAGGCATGAAGACGATGATGATCAACTGAGCAAGACGTTGAGAATGATGGCAAGTTGTAGTAGGTTGTTGCCGAGTGTAGTGGCTGGTGAGGCTGTATGAAGGTGCCGGGATGTCTTGATAAGTGTGGGACGCGTGCTGCGGGTAAGATCTGGCCGGGCCGCATCGTCGGTCCTGTGACGGGACGATGACGACAAATCCATTATGAGCGACAGCACTGAAATGGGCCGGGGCGGGGAACATGGGCGAGGAAAGGATGGATGTTGGTCATGGGCGTTGCAGGCATGTGGGTGGTAGGCAGGGCTGGTGCGGGTGCGGGTGTGGAGAGGGAGTAGCCTCGACCACTTGTTGACCAGATGGGGCGGCTGTGTTGGCTGTCAATGGCTCTGTTCGGGCCGCCGCGCGATGGAGGGAACGAAGAGTGCCACGTAGCGCATTGTCACGATGACTGGCGATGACGACATAATGGATAATGGAGTTTCGATGTCATGGCGACGTGGCAAATGGTCATGGTGACGATAATGTTCCGCACCCCGCCGTGGGAGTGTGGGAGTGTTGTTTCGGGACTGATGGGATTCCCGGAATTGGCGCCCTTGTCCAGGAAGAGCCAAGGCGGGGCCAAAACCAAGCCGTTTCCAAGCTCACACCAGTCCGGCATTGAAGGCATACCCAACTGTTGATCCGGACTACTGCATCAAGTGTTGTTTCAGGAGTGACATTTCTCCAGCGTGGCGAGGAAATAGACACGCGTCAGACGGCCTGCGCGAAGTCAAAACTCCGTGCCTCTCCCGCCAGAAGCAGTCTGGCATTGAAGGCATCTGTAACTGTTTGTTGGTCCGGACTACTGCAACAAGTGTGGCCTCGATCGATGGCCATGCCGGCAACCGGGACCTACCGATGGGCTGTCTGCCTGGTTTCCATGCTCATCTGATACATGTGAGAACATGTGTGGATGTACCAGTTCCATTACGCCTTCCTATAGTGCGCCCTGCAGCTCTGCACGCCAACCGCGAAAAATAGCCGCTATCGTTTGACGGGTTCGGTTTCGACGACCGCCGTTGCTGTCGCCATGACGACCATGGCAACCACAGCGACCACCATGGCAACCCTAATTGCTACTCTGTTACGTGTTGGAACATATGGTACTGCTTACATTGTATGGGATGCCCGTAGAGCCATCCTTGCTCGCCCACATTGGCTCACCTGTGTGCCGCGTTCTGCCCAATTTTTTCGCCCCAAAACCCCACACCGTCCGCCACTCGCCACGCTCGATGCACTCTCCCAGCCATCCTTCCCACCACCATCGCCCTCTTCCAGCACTACGCACCTTTTCTTTCTAACCTGTACCGATTTGTGTCCATGCTCTCGTCACCAACGTCCAATTTCCCCCTCTAGCCATCGCAGCTACCTCCAGCCTGCCCCAGCCTGCCTGCAGCCTGCCCTAGCCTGCCTGCAGCCAGCCTGCAGCCAACCCCATACCAATCGCTCCATCCCATCCCTTCCCTCCCTCTTTCCCACCCACACTATCCCCATCCCCATCCCTATGAACATAAACATAATATCATGGTGAGAAAGCGGGACTCGGAAGAGGTTCCTAGTATAATCGGAAATGTCCTCTGTTTCTCTAAGCCTCAAAGTATGATAATTCTTTGTTCATGTTTAACCCCCTCGCGTTATAATGACTAAGTATACTCTTGTCAGTCCATTACATAGGTATTTTGATGATTAATTTCAAGGTATTGTTTGTTCGATCATACAGAAATGTGATCTTCGACCGACTCGACAATAAGAGCGTCGCTTGCA